CTCTATGGCACAAGATGCACTATCTTCACCGACCACAAGAGCCTTCAACACATTCTCGATCAGAAGATGCTGAATATGACGCAGAGGAGATGGGTCGAATTACTCAACGACTACGATTGTGAAATAAAGTACCACCAAGGAAAGGCTAACGTTGTAGCAGATGCTCTGAGCAGGAAAGAAAGGGTGAAGCCATCGAGAGCACGAGCTATGGGAATGTTGGTACAAACAAGCTTAAAGGCTCAGATTCTTGAAGCCCAAGAAGAAGCTCTGAAGACAGAAAATCTGAAGGACGAGACCCTGCATCAAGTAGAGAAAAAGTTTGAAGTACGATAAGATGGGATACGGTACTTTAAAGATAGAGTATGGGTTCCAAAGGTCGACCATTTGAGATCGACAATCATGGACGAAGCACACTAATCAAGGTACTCAATCCACCCAGGAACGGATAAAATGTACAAAGGATTAAAAGAACACTATTGGTGGCCAGGAATGAAGAAAGATGTGGCCCTATACGTGAGTAAATGTTTAACTTGTGCGAGAGTCAAGGTGGAACATCAGAAACCATCCGGTCTTCTACAGCAACCAGAAATCCCAAAATGGAAGTGGGAGCAGATCTCGATGGACTTCGTAACCAATTTACCCAGAACCAGAAAGGGACACGACTCGATTTGGGTAATTGTGGATCGACTCACGAAATGCGCACATTTTCTACCTATTCGAGAAGATTTCAACTTAGAAAGGCTTGCACAACTGTATGTCAACGAGATCGTTATGCGTCATGGAGTACCTGTTTCAATAATTTCAGACAGAGATAGTCGTTTTACCTCGCGATTCTGGAAATCACTACAAAAAGTGATGGGCACAAGGATAAATTTAAGTACTTATTATCATCCTCAAACCGATGGGCAAACGGAAAGGACTATTCAAACATTAAAGGATATGTTGCGTGCTTGTGTGATAGAATTCGGAGGTAGCTGGGATGATCACCTACCGCTGGTCGAATTTTCCTACAACAACAGCTATCATACGAGTATACAGTGCGCGCCGTACGAAGCCCTTTATGAACATAAGTGCAGATCACCACTCAACTGGTTGGAAGTTGGTGATAGTCAATTAATTAGGCCAAACATTGTTCAGAAGACGACATACAAGATCAAGATGATCCAAGAAAGGTTAAAAGCGGCTAGAGATCGCCAGAAAAGTTATGCGGATAACCGTAGGAAGCCACTGGAATTCCAAGTTGGAGATCAAGTGTTATTAAAGATATCATCATGGAAAGGACTATTACGTTTTGGGAAGAAAGGAAAATTATGTCCAAGGTATATTGGTCCGTTCAAGATACTAGAAAGAGTGGGACCCGTCGCTTACAAACTCAATTTACCGCAAGAGCTCAATGCCATTCATGACACCTTCCATGTATCGAATCTCAAGAAATGTTTTTCAGAATAATCGGTAGTCCTGCCTTTGGAAGAGATCCAAGTCAACGACCAGTTACGCCTTATAGAAGAACCAATTGAAATTCTTGACCATGAGATCAAGCGATTGAGGCATATCAAGATTCCAATCGTGAAAGTTCGTTGGAACTCAAGGCATGGGCCGGAGTATACCTAGGAGCAAGAAGATTTTATGAAGAACAAATATCCCCAACTATTCACGACAGAACTGTCCGGATGTTGCAATCACTAAATTTCGTGGCGACTTTCTCTAGCAAGGGGAGACTGTGACAGCAGTCAAATTCGAAATCCCAGTTTAGGTTTTATTAAGATTATATTAGTGTTATTGAAGTTAATATATAAGAGTAGGAGTTAGTTAGGTTAGTTTAGTTAAAAGAATTTAAGAATTTCCGGCAGTTGCTTAGAAAGTCCGGTTCCGACCCGAAATTATCTGAAACATCCTATACAGTACCAAATGCTCTAATTTATACCCAATATATATAAAACACTAAGTTTTAGTGTTTTAAATATAAAATCTTTCTATTTAAATAAATTTAGTCATCGTGGGCTTTTAAAGTGAATAAAAATGTCAAAATTGAGAAAATGGGCTTTTGTGCATTTTGGGTTTAGTTTAAAAAAAAAACTTGTTAGAGGGTGGGCTTCCGCTCCCTATGCCCGGCCCCTCCCCTCTGAATTCCCTCCCTCCTTCCACATATAAATAGCATCATTTCTCTTAATTCCTCCTTATTTCTCCATTCAAATTTCTAAACCTCTCTTTTTCCTCCCCCTAAAAACTCAAGGGTCACCTTTAGAACCCTCCTTCCCCTTCATCCATATTCAGCCGATTTCTTCATTAATATTCATCATTTTGGCAAAATTTTGAAGATACAACAATCCTCTCATTCAATAACAAGGTAATGCATTCATCCCTCCATCTTTTATTGTAAGTTTTGGGGAGAAAAACCCACTTTTATGCATTCTTCATCTCCTATTTTATAAGTTTTGAAAATATTGAGTCTCAAGGTGAGATTATACACCAAAAACATGTAAAAATGTTTATTTGATGGTGGTAATCCATGACCCAAACATTAGAACTCAAAATGATAGGAAGAATCATGATTTTATATGGTTTATTTCTTAAAAATTTCATATTCTGGTGCTGACAGATTATGTGCTTGTGCACGAATCGTCCATATCTTGTAAATGGCTTGTTCAAATGTTATGAGGTTTCTTTTAAAAGTTTATTTATTGAGTTGGGGTTGCAATGCATTTGGTTTCACTCAAAAACATTGAGTTTTGACCCCCCAAATGCTCAAAACATTGTATATATGCATATGAGAATTTTCACGACCCCTTTTTACCAATTTCCCGTTTTGGGGTGAAAAGCATGATTAATGAATATTTTATGGATTTATATCGATATATGAATCTTGTTATGAGCATTTAAATGTATACACTATTGATATGTTGAGACTGAAAGTCCCCGTTTATTTCCACTACTATTAATTCATTTTTGAACCCATGATTCTTGTGGATAGCGCTATTTGGTTGTCATACCCACCTTGTTACTAATGAGTAGGGGTGCACTTGGTCCTTAAAATTTGCTCTACACATGTGACACGAAGTGGTCACCGTTGAGGTAGTCCGGTAGGAGTTCTACACATGTGACACGAAGTGGTCACCGCTGAGGTAGTTCGGCATGAGTTCTACACATGTGGGGTTTAGTCTCACCGCTGAGGTAGTTCGTAAGTATGTTCTACACACGTGGTTCGCTACCACCTTTGAGGTAGTTCATGGGGCGTTTTTAGGTTTAGTAGTGGCTCAATAATATAATTCATGTGTATGACGTTGTTTT